AAGTGCCTCAAGGGTTCGTCTGATCGCCAAAATAAGGGTCGCAATCGATTCCTCGGGTCAATATCTAGCCGCAGCCTCGGGTTCCAGATGTGTGCAACTTACCCCTTACCCCTTAATCGGCCCTTAAAGGAAGGGGCGCGTCAAAAGTGCCTCAAGGGTTCGTCTGATCGCCAAAATAAGGGTCGCAATCGATTCCTCGGGTCAATATCTAGCCTCAGCCTCGGGTTCCAGATGTGTGCAATATACCCCTTACCCCTTAATCGGCCCTTAAAGGAAGGGGCGCGTCAAAAGTGCCTCAAGGGTTCGTCTGATCGCCAAAATAAGGGTCGCAATCGATTCCTCGGGTCAATATCTAGCCGCAGCCTCGGGTTCCAGATGTGTGCAACTTACCCCTTACCCCTTAATCGGCCCTTAAAGGAAGGGGCGCGTCAAAAGTGCCTCAAGGGTTCGTCTGATCGCCAAAATAAGGGTCGCAATCGATTCCTCGGGTCATTATCTAGCCGCAGCCTTTTGCACTTTTGGCACTTTTGACGCGCCCCTTCCTTTAAGGGCCGATTAAGGGGTAAGGGGTAAGTTGCACACATCTGGAACCCGAGGCTGCGGCTAGATATTGACCCGAGGAATCGATTGCGACCCTTATTTTGGCGATCAGACGAACCCTTGAGGCACTTTTGACGCGCCCCTTCCTTTAAGGGCCGATTAAGGGGTAAGGGGTAAGTTGCACACATCTGGAACCCGAGGCTGCGGCTAGATATTGACCCGAGGAATCGATTGCGACCCTTATTTTGGCGATCAGACGAACCCTTGAGGCACTTTTGACGCGCCCCTTCCTTTAAGGGCCGATTAAGGGGTAAGGGGTAAGTTGCACACATCTGGAACCCAAGGCTGCGGCTAGATATTGACCCGAGGAATCGATTGGGACCCTTATTTTGGCGATCAGACGAACCCTTGAGGCACTTTTGCTGCGCCCCTTCCTTTAACGGCCGATTAAAGGGTAAGGGGTAAGTTGCACACATCTGGAACCCGAGGCTGCGGCTAGATATTGACCCGAGGAATCGATTGCGACCCTTATTTTGGCGATCAGACGAATCTTTGAGGCACTTTTGACGCGCCCCTTCCTTTAAGGGCCGATTAAGGGGTAAGGGGTAAGTTGCACACATCTGGAACCCGAGGCTGCGGCTAGATATTGACCCGAGGAATCGATTGGGACCCTTATTTTGGCGATCAGACGAACCCTTGAGGCACTTTTGATGCGCCCCTTCCTTTAAGGGCCGATTAAGGGGTAAGGGGTAAGTTGCATACATCTGGAACCCAAGGCTGCGGCTAGATATTGACCCGAGGAATCGATTGGGACCCTTATTTTGGCGATCAGACGAACCCTTGAGGCACTTTTGACGCGCCCCTTCCTTTAAGGGCCGATTAAGGGGTAAGTTGCACACATCTGGAACCCGAGGCTGCGGCTAGATATTGACCCGAGGAATCGATTGCGACCCTTATTTTGGCGATCAGACGAATCCTTGAGGCACTTTTGACGCGCCCCTTCCTTTAAGGGCCGATGAAGGGGTAAGGGGTAAGTTGCACACATCTGGAACCCGAGGCTGCGGCTAGATATTGACCCGAGGAATCGATTGGGACCCTTATTTTGGCGATCAGACGAACCCTTGAGGCACTTTTGACGCGACCCTTCCTTTAAGGGCCGATTAAGGGGTAAGGGGTAAGTTGCACACATCTGGAACCCAAGGCTGCGGCTAGATATTGACCCGAGGAATCGATTGCGACCCTTATTTTGGCGATCAGACGAACCCTTGAGGCACTTTTGACGCGCCCCTTCCTTTAAGGGCCGATTAAGGGGTAAGGGGTAAGTTGCACACATCTGGAACCCGCGGCTGCGGCTAGATATTGACCCGAGGAATCGATTGCGACCCTTATTTTGGCGATCAGACGAACCCTTGAGGCACTTTTGACGCGCCCCTTCCTTTAAGGGCCGATTAAGGGGTAAGGGGTAAGTTGCACACATCTGGAACCCGAGGCTGCGGCTAGATATTGACCCGAGGAATCGATTGCGACCCTTATTTTGGCGATCAGACGAACCCTTGAGGCACTTTTGACGCGCCCCTTCCTTTAAGGGCCGATTAAGGGGTAAGGGGTAAGTTGCACACATCTGGAACCCGAGGTTGCGGCTAGATATTGACCCGAGGAATCGATTGCGACCCTTATTTTGGCGATCAGACGAACCCTTGAGGCACTTTTGACGCGCCCCTTCCTTTAAGGGCCGATTAAGGGGTAAGCGGTAAATTGCACACATCTGGAACCCGAGGCTGCGGCTAGATATTGATCCGAGGAATCGATTGCGACCCTTATTTTGGCGATCAGACGAACCCTTGAGGCACTTTTGACGCGCCCCTTCCTTTAAGGGCCGATTAAGGGGTAAGGGGTAAGTTGCACACATCTGGAACCCGAGGCTACGGCTAGATATTGACCCGAGGAATCGATTGGGACCCTTATTTTGGCGATCAGACGAACCCTTGAGGCACTTTTGACGCGCCCCTTCCTTTAAGGGCCGATTAAGGGGTAAGGGGTAAGTTCCACACATCTGGAACCCGAGGCTGCGGCTAGATATTGACCCGAGGAATCAATTGCGACCCTTATTTTGGCGATCAGACGAACCCTTGAGGCACTTTTGACGCGCCCCTTCCTTTAAGGGCCGATGAAGGGGTAAGGGGTAAGTTTCACACATCTGGAACCCGAGGCTGCGGCTAGATATTGACCCGAGGAATCGATTGGGACCCTTATTTTGGCGATCAGACGAACCCTTGAGGCACTTTTGACGCGACCCTTCCTTTAAGGGCCGATTAAGGGGTAAGGGGTAAGTTGCACACATCTGGAACCCAAGGCTGCGGCTAGATATTGACCCGAGGAATCGATTGCGACCCTTATTTTGGCGATCAGACGAACCCTTGAGGCACTTTTGACGCGCCCCTTCCTTTAAGGGCCGATTAAGGGGTAAGGGGTAAGTTGCACACATCTGGAACTAAGATACCTATAAGAAACAGGTAGGTCCGATGTTTTGAGTAAAGCCCTGGTGACGTCACTGATATTTCTTATATGGAGAATTTCACCCATAAGGAAAATATTTTACATACGAAAATTTGTATGCTATTAGGAAAAAATAGAATCTTTCAATTCCACCATGAAAATTATATAATTTAATTAATAAACTCGAAATCCTTTGAGTGTCTGTCCCAACCCCCTGTTATACCTTTGGTCACGTGACTACCATGATACACTTTGCATTTTACAAGGTTATGACTTAAATGGAAGTAATAAATGCTACAAATGTATTATTTATGATGTTTTAGGCAGCAATCGTGTGAATATATCCTGAAATTATCTATAATCTGCTGAAAAGAAGTCACGTGATGCTACCAGATTGTGCTCCGACAGCATCTTCTTGAATTTCGATTTTGAGTACTTTGTACCTTCATTGAGGCCTAATAACGGACGGTTTTAGTTATAAAATGAAGCACTGAATCTAATGAGGGCAAAATTTAATCATTTTTGCACTTTCAGGCCGGGCTATCCTGGCTTGAACTTTGGCCAGTTTGTGTGTAGAGCCTATGGTGAAGGGAAAACTTCACGCCCGGCTGACGTCACAGACCTCGGCTACCAAATCGTGTCCGGTGGGTGTCGTCTGGAACCCGAGGCTGCGGCTAGATATTGACCCGAGGAATCGATTGCGACCCTTATTTTGGCGATCAGACGAACCCTTGAGGCACTTTTGACGCGCCCCTTCCTTTAAGGGCCGATTAAGGGGTAAGGGGTAAGTTGCACACATCTGGAACCCGAGGCTGCGGCTAGATATTGACCCGGGGAATCGATTGCGACCCTTATTTTGGCGATCAGACGAACCCTTGAGGCACTTTTGGCGCGCCCCTTCCTTTAAGGGCCGATTAAGGGGTAAGGGGTAAGTTGCACACATCTAGAACCCGAGGCTGCGGTTAGATATTGACCCGAGGAATCGATTGCGACCGTTATTTTGGCGATCAGACGAACCCTTGAGGCACTTTTGACGCGCCCCTTCCTTTAAGGGCCGATTAAGGGGTAAGGGGTAAGTTGCACACATCTGGAACCCGAGGCTGCGGCTAGATATTGACCCGAGGAATCGATTGCGACCCTTGTTTTGGCGATCAGACGAACCCTTGAGGCATTTTTGACGCGCCCCTTCCCTTAAGGGCCGATTAAGGGGTAAGGGGTAAGTTGCACATATCTGGAACCCGAGGCTACGGCTAGATATTGACCCGAGGAATCGATTGCGACCCTTATTTTGGCGATCAGACGAACCCTTGAGGCACTTTTGACGCGCCCCTTCCTTTAAGGGCCGATTAAGGGGTAAGGGGTAAGAGCTAGGGCCATATAAATGTCATATTCTTGCTCCCCGTCCCCCAATTGACCTAATATGAGTTTTTCAAGCGATTCTGAATCCGACGCTGTATTCGTTGCTGTTGCTGACGCTAACTTCACGGACATTGAAGGTCGATCGTATGTGAAGTCATGTATGGTATATGGGGCCATTCCGACCCGTTTTAGTGGTAAAAACAGGGAGCTGATTTTCCCCCGTTGACTTATAATGGGGAGGTCGAGAAATTGACCTGACCTTAGGTCACCGATATCAAAATTCCGAGATAAACAAATTGTAGCTTCTAATGACCTAATAACATCCTGCGACTTTCAAAGGCCTCCGACATCTACTGTAGCTCTGGCACGGTGACAAAGTTGCAAAAAAGTGACTTGAGGTTGGGTCATTCAAAGTGACCTGGTGACCTGACCTTAAAAGTTAGGAGGTTCAAACTTGCACACCATGTGTAAAATTGATGAGAGAATAGTCGTACCATCGCGGCGCTACGCGCCGCGGTTTTCCCGCTATTTGCGAAAAACCTCAGGGGGGGGGGGCGGATATCCGCCCCCCGTCGGTGCGCGGGTTAAATACACGGTCGGCTTACCTCCGACCTCCTGGATGACGCGCTGTTCGAAGGCTGCGGTGGAGAAGGTGACCTCGTTGGCCGACGCCAGAGCCAGGACAATGGCGCCGGTGACAGCGGCTCCAGCGAGCCAGCCCATAGCTGCGGTCTGAGGAGCGGAACGTCTGAAACCACACGTATGGGGATGCAGTTGCCAGCACTTCGACAGTCAGATGCTCAAGGGATGCTTTTCGGCTTTCGAAAAACGACAGCTTCATCAAGTTCACTCAAATGATGGCGGAGTGGGAGAAGAAGGATTTCGACAACCTGAATTCTAAACAGATCATACCGAGGTTAACACAAGCATAGCCGATTTTATTTGTTGCCACTTGCCAGTAATTCAAAGTTGCAATGCCCATGCCCTATGCTCACACAATACACAATACGCATATTAACCCGGTTTACATAGCATATTTGACGAGGCTCTAGCTCGTTAATTTGGCGATAATTTCGTTGCAGTGGTCTTCAAATATTTAGAGGGGATCATTTTGTAAATTGTTAAGCACCATTGGCATCTTTTGCAACATCACGGACGGAGATATAAGCTTGCAACAAACCCTATGTAAACCGGGTTATTGTCATATGAGCCTAGGAAATAGAAGAAAGGATAACTTGTAAAGGGATAACTGCAATATGGTAGCAATTGGTGAGTTGGTAGCTCGAGTTGTATGCCTTTTCCGACGCATGTTACATGTATGGCGCAAATAATTCGACACGTTGAAAACGCGCACGCTTGTGCTTGGCTCGTGCCCCGGCATAATTGTACAGCTACAATCGATAAATTTATTGGTGGGGGGACTCGTAATAAAATTGTAATTCTTTGTAGAGGAGCGTAACACGTTTTCGCCGCCAAGGTGCCAAATACCGCTTCAGGGTTTTGAGCCATTTCGTCGAGTTTCTATTCACGCCCAACAGATGGTAAGCCAAAGCGTTTACAGTGTTTGAGCTCGAATTAAGGGACGCCGGTGAAAACAGGGCGCCGGGGGGCATATAAGTCACGTGACATTTGGAACTTCTCCCCCTCAATGGGCCTTCTGTATGCCAAACGTCACGTGTAAATTTCACGAACCTTGATCAAATCGCCCCAGGCGCCCTGTTTTCACAGTCGTCCGAATTAAAGGGACCCTCCCACCTTCAAAAAAGTTAATGAATTGGCATGAAAGTGATGTCGCTCGATTCAGAAAGAGTAAAAACGAATATCTACCAAATTTCACCGAAAAATATTCACCGGTTTTCAAGATATTAGACTTTTACTTTTGTTTACTTTTTTGGGATCTCCGCTGTTCCTAGCGACTTCATTTTGGAAGTGCGGCGTTCGCGGCAGATGTTGCGCGCAAATAGCATATACCACCACTGCTTTACAAAGATGTTAGTATAAGGTTTTAAAATCGTTAGATCACCACTGACGTCACAAATTCTAAGGGGGCATCTCAATGCATTAGCCCCTTAGAATCCGAAAACTGCAAGTTTGAAATTCCATATCTCCGAATTAAAGCATTTTTCGATGTTGTGAGTGCCCAAACCGGTATTTGCAGGCCATGGCCACCAATTTGGCTATCTCAACTCAAAACTAATGTTAAGGTGGGATGGTCACTTTAAGGGACGCCGGTGAAAACAGGGCGCCGGGGGGCATATTAGTCACGTGACATTTGGAACTTCTCCCCCTGGACGACGGTGAAAACAGGGCGCCTCGGGCGATTTGATCAAGGTTTGTGAAATTCACACGTGACATTTAGCATATAGAAAGCCCAGAAAGGGGGAGAAGTTCCAAATGTCACGTGACTAATATGCCCTCCGGCGCCCTGTTTTCACCGGCGTCCCTCCCCCTCAATGGGCCTTCTGTATGCCAAACGTCACGTGTAAATTTCACGAACCTTGATCAAATCGCCCCAGGCGCCCTGTTTTCACAGTCGTCCGAATTAAGTCAAAGTGATTGTGATAGCATCCTTCGTCTTGCATGTGGCATTTCCGCTGCCTGACCGCTTGGAATAACGTTAGAGTTCCGGTTAGCACTTGGTCCACCAGATATGGTGCTTAACCCAAACCAACCAACTAGCCCCTTCGTCCTTCACTTTACTTCATTCATCATGTCATATCTGAACACCTTATGAACATCTTCATCAGCCTTAATATTCTGAAACTTTTATTTTGACATAGGAAGAACTATATTCTAACTAAAATAATTTTTGACGCTGAAGCTTACCTACATGTTGACCAATCATGTTGTGTAGTACATACTGGCTGTAAGCAGCACGCAGATTGGCTGACGATGACATGGCTGCATTCCTCAGCAAGGCATGCATTCCTCTGCAAGGCACCCTTTACGGAACAGTCAACAGGAAATTGAATATCTTCGTCTAGGGTGATCGTTAGCCGTAAAAGCTCTTGATTTGTGCTAGTCTCAGCTGAAGCTATGAAATTGCTATTCCAATTCCAGTTCAAACCCCTTTGTTAAAAGTGAACTATTTCCTTTAAGGCCCACACCACTACATGAAATTCATGGCATGCCATGATAATTTCTCACCTTGCCATCAATTGACTGAGTGTCCCGCAATCAAGATGTCAAAATTGCTATATGTTGCATTTGAGGACTGAAGGTTTTCACTATTTAGATTGACGGATTGGTTCTTTGCCTTTGGCTTTTCCACAGGTTTTCAGTGTATCGTTTTGTAATTACTAAGCAAAATGAAACATCTTTGACTATTAACTACTGATCTTTCAGCTTGACTGTATAAATGATAGAAAAATGTATGACTTAACTGAATTGGTTGAGGTGTAACAGCCAACTCATATTCATCAGAAAGGAATGCATCTTTTCAATAAATGGTCTGGTTTCTTAAAATACAGTGTAACAAAGAATCACATCTGACATGCCCAGATGAGTGAAAAGATAGTTCTCTGTTACCTACTGCTACCTCTATCCAGGCATAATGTGCCTCAAATGTCTATTGACACTTCTTAGGAGCAATCCATGGTAAGCTACTGCTTGCTAGTTGTGGGTAGTTAGCTAGTTTATTGTCTTTCTGCATTCAGATGAGTCTTATGCATTCAAATGAGTGATATTGGCTTCATGTGTTTTGTAATGATTATGATAGAACTTCTTGATAAAACTATGATGAATGCTGCGATATGCAAAACGATAGTAACAAATTACAAAATGATACGCTTTGTGCACCACCTACAGGAAATTGCTCAAAAGTTTGTGATATGTTATATTGTTGAATAGAAGGAAAGTTTTAATAAATACTTTGATGCCCTAAAAATGAGCTGAGGCCTCTTGCACCAAAATCCTCTTGCACCAAAGGTGGGATTATTTTGCATCGTATACCCAGTCCAAGTCTCAAATGTAACAATTTGCGTGCAAAATTTAGCAAGCACATGTAGGATTATGCATTGGGCTATTGCAAACAAATTTACCACCGTTAGATTAGCTTATTCTGAAACCGGTTTTTCGATTTTACCTAGCTAGGTAGTTTGGTGCAAGAGGCCTCTGATGTTTACTTGTAGCAATGGTATTGCTGTTAGTCTCACTTTGAATTAAGATCAATTTTGCTCAGTAATGACATTCCTGTTTAAGCAATGATATAGCATAACTTTGTAATGCTATATTGAATTGATATGCAAACAGCATCACATCGCTAGGTATGTTTCATGTCTACCAATTTGGATGCATCGTCACCAGGATATGATAGTTTGGTGGACCGCCCCTCCCCCTCCCAAACTGAGTGGACTGTGTGACTGGCGGGGTGCGGTCCGTCCGTCGTGCCGGCGGCCGAGCCCGTCCTGTTTACCAGTGTCCCGCTGTCGGCACGGGCGGCCGCGCCGGCCCGCCACCCCGCTGCTGACACTCTGTCGGCGGCCCGCGCCGCGCCACCTGACCGTGCGCCGCTCCGCTCCGCTCCAGATGCGCGGCGGTGTCCGGGGGCGCGGCGGCCCGCGCATGGGCCGCGGCGGCTACAAGATGAAGACGTTCGTGCCGCGGCTGCCGTTCGACATCTACCTGTGTGAGCCGGCGTTCCAGCGGGCCAAGCCGGCGCCGGACGAGACGCCGCTGCAGCAGGTGGGTGGTCGGCCCGCCCCCGTCCCGGCGGCCCTCTGGCCGTGCACTCACCGGAGTCGCTGTGCTCGGCGGGGTTCAGCCGGTGCGGGCGTCCACAGCGGCTGCGGCGGCGGCGGCCGTCAGCGCGCGCCGCGCCGTCACTGGCCGCCGTGCGCGCCGCCGCCGCAGCCGGCGCGCCGCTCCTGTTTACGTTAGCAGCCGGTGTCCGGCCGTAACACAAACATGGCCAGACTGCGCGCCCCGTCCGGACAGCAGCACGTGCGACGGTAGACGGTGGCCGCGCCAGATGGGGTGCGTATCACTCTGCAGCTCAGCTCGCCCTGCGTCCAGCTCGGCTGGATGCAGGAGGGATGATCGGCGTGTTTTCTGTTTTGACCTACAAGCCGGACGCTGTCGCGGTGGTGTAACTAGATATGCCAGACATCTGCCGCGAAGGTCCCCTGGGCTGCGCGGCACAGTGGCGGGGAACTGGGACAGTCTTGCAGAGCTGTGCGGGGTCTGCGGCGGTTTGTTTACAGCACGACTGGATCCGGTCCGGACCGCAGATCGGGCCTCTTTGTGACACGTCACCGGGTTACCTCCTTGACGGAGGTAGCTGTTTGTGTTGACCACGGTCGGAGGTTTGCAGGCGCGCGACTGACTCATCTCTCCCCAGCAGCTGTGGGGTCGGCGCGCTGCATGGTCCCATTGGCCAGCTGGCACTAACTCGTACATATGAGATATGTGACGAGTGGTCAGGATGCATGGCCGTCCGCGGAATTCACGGCGAGGTTCCCAATGACCGTACTAAGGAGAATGAACCGATGTATTAACGTTTTTACAGCGTTACGTTGCCCCAGTTGTATCTTGTGGAATTGAAGCCGCATAAGGACACGGTAAACGACCGAGCACATTTGTTTTGCGATGCGTGACTGACATTTTATCGCCATTTAACTTGCCAAGTATAAGACATGCAAAAGTAAGTATGTTTCAGTTGTGTTCATGCTTTTTTACGTTCTGGTTCCCGATTGTGGTTGCCAGGCGCTGCTGAAGCGGAACACGGACCTGTCTCCGAGCCCCACCGAGCAGACGGCCGTGCTCAACCTGGTCACCAAGATCGCCACCGTGCTCGACACGCTGATCGTCACGCCCGGATCCTTCGACGCCTGTGTGAGTGGCGCCTCCTTCCCGGGACACTCGGACGGGCCGGACTGATTGGTTTCAGTGTGCGCGCGCTCGAGATAGCCCCAGCGCTGGCCTTGTGATGCATGTTTTCTGTTGTTGGTATTCAGCTTTTGGTGAGGACTGATATAGTATGCTGATTTTGACATGCTCGTCTGTGGGGCAGCAAATTGAGGAGCACCGCCAGGTGGGCTCCTACAAGAAGGGCACCATGCGCACCAACCACAACGTGGCCGACGTGGTGGTGATCCTGAAGACGCTGCCGACGCGCGAGGCCGTGGAGGCGCTGGGCAACCAGGTCACGGAGGAGCTGCGCCAGCAGGAGCCCGCGGACGGTGGGTCGGGGTGGCAGGCGGGACGGGCGGCGGACGGGTGAGAGCTGAGGCGGGTCGATACGAAACCCTCCATGGGCAGATAGGCTCTGGATTGCAAAAAAAAGTGAGCATATCCGTTATATTCGATGTCACAGTTGACTTATTTTTCGCCATCCCTGAGTATCAGCCGTTACTTTATACAGGCATCTCGACCAGTCGTAGCACAAGGCTAACTAATTGGGTCATCGCCTCCAGTGCTTGCGATACCGACATCTCGATTTTTTGACGTTCGGGTTGAATAATATGGTGATCTCCCACAGTGCTGGTAATGGCGATGCTGCCGAACGACCGTGGCTTCGAGATCAGCAACAGCGAGGCGACGGTGCGGGTGCTGGTGACGACGGTGCACCAGAACCTGCGGAAGCTGGACCCCGAGCTGCACCTCGACCAGAAGATCCTGCAGAGCCACCTGGCGGCGATACGGCACAGGTGGGTGTCCTCGGCCTCATCAGCCGAGAAGTTACTCTCTGCCGTCACCTGGCGGCGATACGGCACAAGTGGGGGACTTACCAGCGGGGCTCAGCTACACTGGCAGGTGTGTGCCACCACCGTATGTCGCGATGCGGTACAGTAGGACATCCTCCAGCTCTCTACCGGCTGGTGCGTGCCGTCCGTGTGCCGCCAGCCTGAGCCGCCCATCCATCGCCTGCGTACGAATTTCCATAGTCCTGTACGCAGAAGTGTGGGCTTGAATTATGTTGCCAGGAATGTTTTATGCTGTTTTCACTTTTCAGCGCGCGTCATGACTGCAGTGAATCATATTTCAATAATACTTTCAATTAGGTATTGAACGCTATTGATCATTTTAAAATGAAATTTGACAAATTCGCTCGTATTCCAGTCGCTGGTTCGAGGAGAACGCCCACCACTCTTCCATCAAGGTGCTGATCCGGCTGCTGCGCGACCTCAAGAACCGATTCGAGGGCTTCGAGCCGCTCTCTCCCTGGATGCTCGACCTCCTGGTGAGTGCAGCTTAGCTACATGACTGGTATACGTTCTCAGAATCACACACAGCCAGCAGACTTGGTGGCTGCGTTTTAGCCAAGTAGTCTTAGTAAGACTCTGTGGTCCTCGCTTCGTATGCAATTGCCGACTTGCTTGTAACTGCGTGTGTGTTTGTGTGCAGGCGCACTACGCTGTGATGAACAACCCGAGTCGCCAGGCCATGTCGGTGCACCAGGCGTACCGGCGCTGTCTGCAGCTGCTAGCTGCCGGCCTCTTCCTTCCCGGATCGGCAGGTAGGGCCGCGGGGCCGATAGAATATAGGAAACGGTTCGTCAGTCTGTTCTTTGATTATCAATGGAAACAAAGATTGAACTGGAAAATGAATATAAAATCTGCGTCACCCGTAGGGCTAAGTGGGCTGCGGGCTGTTGGTATGCGTCCTTGCGCTGAGTGCCGGGCCCGTCCCCCTGATGTCTGTAGGTATCGCCGACCCGTGCGAGGGCGGCAACATCCGCGTGCACACGGCCATGACGCTGGAGCAGCAGGACCAGGTGTGTCTGACGGCGCAGACGCTGCTGCGCGCGCTCTCCCACGGCGGCTACAAGCAGGTCATCGGACTCGAGGGCAACGCCAGTGAGTATTCCCCGACAGCTGAGAGCCGATCCTTCGTCTGTGTCAGTTGGCATTTTCGGAAGCTAGTATATTGCTGCTTAAGATGTCAGGTTAAGTCCTGCAAGGACATTTCTTATCGATTCTTGTGCACAGTCGAGTTATCCACTTGAGTGTTTGATGCGGATCGGGGTAAAATTTGCTCTTCCGTTCAGCTATTGAAGCATGGTTTCGATTCTGATGAAGCCGCCGGCGCGTCGGCAGGTATCGCCACCGACATGACCGTCTGGGAGGGTATCGTGGTCTCGCCGCTGGAGAAGGCCTACGAGAAGCCGCCCGAGAGGAAGGAGGGCGAGCCGGGCGACGAACTGGCCGACGACGACGACATGGACATGGCCGACAACTGAGCGCCGGCCGGGGCTGGGGGGACTGCGGCTGGCGGCATGTACTCGTGTATTATCGCTGTGCGGCGCGCGTGGTCGGACGGACGCGTGGCAGGTCGAGTTTGTGTGCATGTATTGTGTTCTTTTTAATGTCCTGCGACCGTGGTACGCAAGGCTAAGTGTGTGTTTCAATTTAGGACCATATGCGCCGATTATCTGCTTAACTGTTTAAAATGTTTTACGAAAATGTGACTTTCTTTTCCGTTGTCGTGTTCGCTGGCGTGAATTTATGAGCTTTTATAAGCAAATCAGTGTCCGTGGTGCCCGATTTCGGTTGTGCGGCCCGTTCAGTGCGTTTGCGTGTGCGCATGTGAGGGAGCCTGTCGTGTGTAGGTCTGTTGCGTCGGGGCTGGTAATCACTGTCGTGACTCGGCATTTGTACACACCGCGCGAATGCAGCGGGTCGCCTTTATTTCCATTCTGCCAGAAACGCTCGTCATAAAACCGTTCATCTTTATCGAATACATCACGTCACAAACATACAGACTAGACACTGTCTTGTGCAGCAAAACCAAAGACGGGTATGCAAGTACCAGCATACGGCATACTAGCAGCGCTAACACTGGTATCGTTAGATGTACTAGGCGGCCCTGATACAGCAGCTTCAATGCTACTGGCCGTCGTTTCGTCAGAGGCAACGAGTATAAGACGGCACATCACATAGTAATATGTGATGAACGAAACGAAGCTAACTAAAATACACGATAAACGGGTCTCCGATTCAGACATGACTAGGATTTCAGTATGGGACATGACTAGCGCTCAAACACAGTCTTATGAGGAGCAGCTTGGCTATAGCAGATTAACTCCTTGCGCGAGGTGACCTATCCGCGCATTTATGAATGCATTTATCCTGGTGAAATATACGAGTTAGTCTTACAAAGTAGCTGGGAAGCGAGGATAATGTGACACTGAGACGTGGTGTGATATTTGGGATCTATGTATGTAGGGGACTAGGGGTTCGCCCCAAATTCAATTGTGCTGCGAATGCTGCGACAGTGACACATTGACTATAAGAGGTTCAACATTTAACGTGTAGAACATAAGGGAACATCAGTTGTAGAATGTAGATCAATCGAAAACCAGTATAACGGCGGAGAGAAGGTTTCAAAAAGACTAATCTCGACTCGGTCAATTCAAATGATCACTTCTTGTTTCACATTTGGGATCATTAATCCCGCATATTATTGGGTAGATGCCTCGTAACACAAGCCTTGTTATTGGCACACCACAGGGAGCAAGTCTACCATTAAAGACCACAAGACAAACACACCGAGGACATTTCAGATCTAAGCTCAAGCTATCACATGATAAATGATTAGTGACTAGATGCGGTTGACACAAAATCCGGGCACGGTCACCTGTTCTGAGTCGTTGGCCGCCTTTCTCCCTCGGAAGCCCCTGTGTCGGTCGCTGTGGAGCCCGGTCGGCGGGCCCCGCTCACACGCACGGGTTGTTGTCGCCGTGCAGCGCCGCCTGGCCGCAGGTGACCCGCTCACCGGTCGGCAGCTGGCCGCTCTCGGCCGGCACGTGTACCCGGAACAGGCGGCCAATCACGGCCGGCCCGCTGGCCGCCCCCTCCCCGGGCCTCGTCTGCGGGAAGTGGACGCACGCGCACAGCTGGTAGGAGCCCTGGCTGTCGGCGGCGCCGGCGCGGCCCTGCGCCCATGGGATGCTGCGCACGTCCAGCGCCACGCCGGCGCCGGCGCGCAGCACCACGCTGCCGTTGACGCTCTTCAGGTGGAGCTCCTGATCGGCCGACATGACGATCTCCTTGCCGTCGATGTAGGTGCCCTCGCTGCCCTTCAGGTGCACCTGAGTGGACGCCTCCAGTTTGAGTGACCGGTCCACGGGACTGACCACGCGCCGGGTGTGCACCTTCTGCACGTGCAGGCTGCGCACACCGTCCGGCAGGCCGAAGTTGGGGAAGTCGGTGCTGAAGAAGGGCGCTGCGCCGGTCGAGGAGCCGGGGGCGGCGGCGAACACGGCCGCTCGCTGCACGCCCTCCACGCGCACACCGTGGCTGGCCTTGGCGGAGTCCCGGGTGGACGGGGACAGGCGCACGCGCTGGCTCTCAGCCGGCTCGAACCCGGCGTCCGGGGTGTCGGAAACCTGGTGAAACGGGAGACACAGGAGCTGTCAGGGCTGCGAGACACTTGATAAATAAACGACGGAAGTGTCCGGGCTGTCAGACACCGGAAACACTCGGCGTCGGGTACAGAAGGCATTACTGACATAAGACATTAGACATGGTCACTCAGCAGACGATAAAGAGCGCTAGACAAGACAATCGTGGCGGACAATATCACCCAGCATCTCCATTCTCCAACTACGTAACATTCCGCAATTATATTCTCCACCGTAACGATCTGTTTCTGATCACAAAAATAAGTGCCATCAATTCAGTTTTCACGTCACATCTATCGCCAACGATGGAGTACCTATATTACGAGCAGCCGTGTAGGCAGTCGCCCGATCGGCGGCGCCGCGGCGCGCGCCGGGGGCTCACCAGGAGGTCCACCTGACCCGCGTCGCCGGTGACGGTCATCGGGTCGCCGTCGAAGCCGATGAAGCTGCCGTCGGGCTTGTAGAGCCGGTCGAGGTTGACGGTGCCCGGCAGCACCATGCCCCCGTCCACGAACTGCCGGAGCGAGGGGATGTCAGAGGGCGGCCGGACGTACACATACAGTGCACTGCCCAGTGACCAGAGAATGGTTGGTATTGCATGCATGAAACACGATTGCGTCAGCCGTGATATTCGATCAAGCCATGAGCGGCTTTGAAAATCAGCAGTCCATTGGAAATAACCCAAAACTCCCAGCCAGGCATAGGCATGAGCTTTAAACTTTGTGAAAACCCCTTCGAATCATATATCAATCATATCGTATCCTACCTGGTCCCAGAAGCGAGCCTCTGCCCATTGCCCAAGGCCATAAAACATACCTCTGCCCGTCACCTGCACCATCATTTATAGCATACGCGTCTACCGACTATTTATCGATAAATTGCTGCGATTAAAAACGAATCACAAAAAAATGAGGAAGCAGTCCCCGAGCCCGGCACCACCCAGCCGGGCCGTACCTGGACGCTCTCCATGCCGACCGAGATGCGCAGCACGCTGATGAGTGTCAGCGTGATGAGCAGGTTGAACACAGCTACCAGTAGCACGACGGCCACCAGCAGCCAGAAGGCGTACGAGCGGCCGCCGCCGGCCGACTCGGGTGGCTCGGTAGTCACCACCGTCTGCACCCTAGGTGTATCAGAGGAGATACTGGGGTTCAATGCACCCTGGGTGTATCAGAGGGGAGACCGGGGTTCACCGTCTGCACCCTGGGTGTACCAGAGGAGATACTGGGGTTCAATGCAGCCTGGGTGTATTGGAGGGGAGACTGGGGTTCACTGTCTGCACCCTGGGTGTATCACAGAGGAGACCGAGGTTCACTGTCTGCACCATGGGTATATTGGAGGGAAGGGGTGGTCAGTATTGACGGCATGGCTGCGGAGTCGGAGTCGCAGTCGGCCGGAGTCGACAGTCCTGACCGTAGTCGGAGTCCGAGTTGTTTTTGGAAACCGGAGCCGGAGTCGGAGTCACCGAAAATCCATAGACTCCACAGACTTGGCAGGGCTGCGGAGTCGGAGTCGGAGTCGACAGTTTCGCATGGAGTCGGAGTTGTTTTTTGTCAGTCGGAGTCGGAGTCTGAGTCACCAAAAATTAATCGACTCTGCAGCCCTGGTTGACAGGTTTCACTGCACCCTGAAGTATATAGTATACAGGGGCTGGTCAGGGTCCACTGAACTCTGAGCACACACAGGGACCAGACAGGGGCGGCAGGGTTCACCGTGCCCTGAGGGCACCCAGGGGCCGTTCAGGGGTGGCAGGGTCACTGTCTGGACCTTAAACACACCACACTTACAGGGGGAGAGGGCTGCTACCACCACAGCACATTATCAGTGGTGGTAGCAGCCCTAATGCCTGCTTAGGGGAGTCAAAGGACATAAGTGTTCTTGAACAAGAAATGCCCTGTAGTAAGCAGACCTCTCAAACAAGCACCTGGCAATGTATTCAACATTGCCTAACCTTACAGTTACGCAGAATTTAGAGGCAGGATCCTGTAGGAACAAATCACTTCAGTTATCATGACATTTGGTGTGTATTGTGTTATGAACTTATGTATAAAAACTGAGATGTACTGACTACTGAATGCCCCTACAGTGGGTAGTCTGGATTTGAAGGAGTTCATGATACAAACTGACAATGCACCAGAGCAAATCTGGGGAAAACAGCCTATTTAATTCTTCAAAAAAAAGGAGTAAATAAGATAAATGTGTAGAAAAAGTTTGGGTTTCTGCTTCTATTTCTTAGGCTTTCCATCTAATGGCAGGTTTCACAGGTAGATAGCAGAATGGTAGGTACCTGCTTTCTATTACAGTTTAAGCATCTCTATTCCCAGCAGGCTTAAGAGTTAACGCAGGCACAGCAACAAACAGTTATAGGACAGTGTACTGCTCTCCTGCAGCAACTCATTGCCATCAAGTTCTGAAGGCAGACACCTCATGGCGTATTCATTAGGCCACTCAGAACTGCCTAATGAGATGGCAGGCTTAATCAAACAATTGCTTAATGAAATGACAGGGATTAATGAGATAACAGACATACTGAACAGCTTCTTACCCATTTGAAGGCTGGGCATACATGCCCATTGATTGGTGGGCACTATTTCTTCTCCTCTGGCTGACAATGTAGTCCTGCATCCTATAATTTCCTGAAAAAAGTAACTTAATAACCAGCAGGCCAGCTAGGAGTCAAATACAAAACTTTAAGCACATTCTATTCTACCAACCAGCAACTCAATTAGTTGCAGTTTCAATCAGACACCTGATGATGATCCTGCCTAATTACAAATGGATGAACCTCTATCATAAGGTGATTTAAAATATTTACAATTATCAACCTGCATGGTGTCACTTTTTTATCTATCTTATTGGTAGGGCTCAAATGGTTCATTTAGGATACTAAAAACATTTTTAACATGCAGCAGTTAGCACCATTGCATGAATGTTAAAACTTCATAAATTTGGTAAGCTAGGGCAGCAGGCCCATGCCAATTGACACCTATGAAAATGAAACATTGACAAAATAAACTGGCATTATATCAGATTGACTAAGGCAGAGAAGGAATTCCCAGTAAGTCAAAACTGTGCATTTTTTCATTTTCTCATTCATTAACCTGTTAAAAAGGTGAGTTGAACAGGTTAAAAGGTTAGTGCATGAAAAAGACATAATATTTTCCCCTAAAAAGTAAATGCTTTAAGATTCACAATTGGTAAAGCTGAATCAAGGCAGTACAGAAACATAAATGACAAAAACCTGTCAATAAATTTAGGTTATATTATAAGTGTGAAAAAAGGGTCACTGAAACAGGTAGGTATGTAGCAATGGACCAGGGACGTAGGTAGCCCAGGGGGGGGGGCACAGGGGCCATGCCCCCCCCCCCGGCCCCCTGAAGGCAGAAAATAAAATAAATCTAATACAAAATTTAATAAATAACAACAGCTCCACTACACCTCCAAAAAAAGTGGGCCAGATCCCAGGAGCTTTCCTCTTCGGAGGGGTACAAACTTGGCCTCGACCTGTGGCCCCTCCCTGAGCAAAATCCTGGCTACGTGCCTGCAATTGACTACTATCTTTATCAATTATAGATAAGGCTGCTACAGTCTTTTGCATTTGCACCCTCTATCTCACCCCGCGTTCGGTGTCTCTCGGACGACAAAGATTCTACGTCGTCCGGCCAATCCCGTCCAAGGTCAGCGGGGGCTCGGCTGCGGTTATGGAACGTGATTGGCCGGACGGCGTAGAATCTTCGCCGTCCGAGAGACATCGAACGCGGGGTCAATCTCAAATAACATGAACTGGAAAATTCACAAAGTAGGTAGGTACAATAGATACCTAGTCCATAATCCAGTGTGGCCAAATTGGTGATGTTGCGGGGAAAGTCACCCCCAATGAAAAGTATAATGACATCCTCAGAAATTTTAAAATTACGTCATCACAACGTTTTTGTTGTGAAAGCATACCTAGTGTAGGAATAAAGACTAAAAATGTTCCGATGTACGATTTGCACCGTCATACTCGTACTGTCGCGCTTGCAATTTTTTTTTTTTACATCTTTGATGATAATATTTGGATTTTTTTTACCTTCCACCAGACCTTGACGTCAGGTATAGTTTTTTCCACATAACTTGTAAAAACTGCACCTAAAATGACACTGAAGACGAGTTTTTTGAAAATAGTGACATCCTCATACGACTTTTTTATACATCCTCCCCTTAACGCTAAACCAGTTTGGCCACACTGCCATAATCCCGCTAATAATATAGAGCTCGTGCTCACTGAAGAACGTCAATGTAGACACTGATACACAGGGATATAAACCGGTATATAATGCCTTAGATAAACCCAAGACAAAGACACAAGATTACAACAGAAAAACACCTGAAAATCCCTAATGTGCAAGGACCGTGATATAAAACCTTGATATCAAGGATATCGAATTCGTAAAGGAATTCGTAAGGAATTGTTTTCTATCGCGTCATGCTTCCCTCCTATGCTAATTAAAGACAAGTAAGAAAAAATATTGCATTAAACGAGATATATTTTGATGATAAATGACGAATAGTTATTACAAAATTTGAAGACTGCAAATACTTTTATGATACGGCAAATATTTTTCATAAACGCTCTTCCAAGCGTGATAAACTACTGACGTCATCAAAATGATGGTCCAGTTGATCCTATTTTGTCTTGATTTTTCAATGTCCTAGATGCGCAACATATGAAGCGAAAGGATGCTAATAAGGACTTTTGTTTGTTAGAATCCAATGAAATTACAACCTTATGAACGATATGCTTCACGCGTGATTTGAGTCTCGCCTGGCTGCCTGGCCCATTATAGAGTTCAGTGCCTGGCCCGGAGTTCTATAGCCTTGCCTGGCCCTCTTGCATTTGAGTTGCCTACTTTGCGAGTGGGGGTTGAGGTGTGGTGTGTGATAGAAAAAGGGTATTAGGAATATTTGCTAGACCAGCGATTTGTTATGATTATTATTTTTTGAATGACAAGCTTTGCAGTTGATGCTTCCACAAAATTGATATCTGTATCAGTGGGTCCAGAAAGAGTTAACCCGCGAGTTGCTGGGGGGGGGGGGGGGCGTTAAACGCCCCCACTTTTTTCGCCGGGCCATAGCATAATAACGGCGCGCCACAGGCGCGCCAAATTTTGGGTACCTGTCAGTTGGGGAAACTACGAGGAGCCAAACAAAAATTGGATTAGCCAATCAAGGGCTGGAGTGGGCGGGGCGATGACCATATTTGGTCATAAAATCAGACAACTGCATCTTTTCAATGCATCCTAGCATTCAAATGAAAAAATAAGGCATAAGAATGTTTTTTAACCACACAAGGCCCACACTCACTCGGTGCACAATTAACTGGCGGCTCTAAATCGCAGAGTTACAACACAAGGTCAATCAGTGATTGGCAAATATGGCGGATTGAAACAGACGCGCCAAAAAATGTAAGCAGTACCGAGGTTTAAAAATGTCATTATTTTTATTATTTTGTTTATGGTTTTTCTAATTGTGGTGAAGTTATTATTTCAACATTAAATATCTTTGTTTATTGTAATTAAATTAAATCTTTTTAGCAATTATCTTTCAAAACACCAATCCAATTATTGAATGGCCAGCTGATTGTGATGCCCAGAACCTGCAGGAAAGCTGTTTTCCTATCGCCATTTTCGAGTCAATTCGCCGAATTTAATCAAATCACACTAATTCCTAGTGGAAAATGGAAGCCTTTTCTCTCCGATAAGTGGACGCGATACCGCAAGTACCGGCTTGTTATACCGTTTTTCACCCTTAGTAGCGGGGGCTGCATATTTATGCCCATATATGGTCATCAAAAGTCCATTTATTGACCAATCAATTTTTTGATTTTTGCCTCGTAGTTTCCCCAACTGCTGTAGGGAATTGATTGAAGTTTATTGTGACAAAGTTTCAAAAAAATCGGTCGGAAAATTTTTGAGATATCGAGGTTTTAGTGACGTCATGATTTCTGAGTTTTCGACCAAAAACGGCATATGTTCAAAAAATCATATAAAATCACAGAATAGACATACAGACATACTGTAAACGCCATTAAACTGCCAATATCATGAACAATCAAATGGCTATCTCCGATTATTGATTATCGTTCCGCATTTTCCGAAATCTTGAACTGAACTTTGGCAATTTCTCGTGACTACTTCACGACCATGATACATGCATTTCTTAAATTGAACTTTTTGAGCCAAACACGTACACGTATGATAAAATGAATGTCACCATCGTGTTCTACGCCCCAAGTTACCCATTAAACATTTGTCACAGGCTGCAAATATCATTTTTTATTTTCGGGGATATGTGCCTACCCGGTTGACCTGACCTTGACCCTGACCTATGCTTGACTGACCCCTACATGGAGCTGACCTCTTTTAGGCCTTATATGATTGATTGTGCACCGTTTTGACAGAGTTTATGACGAGATGCGCCCATAGCGAAGTCCTGAAGTCCATGCTACTGAAAGCCCGATTTCAGGTGTTTGAACTTTGACCTGACCTTGACCCGACCTCTGACCTCAAAATTCAACTTTAAAGTACTCATCTGAAGCGTCACGTCGCGTTCTTTCGTTTGCCGCCTCGTGCGTTTCGCTGCGCCTATTGGTTCTCGAGTTATCGGCTGGGGGCGTTTAACGCCCCCCCCCCCCAGCAAACGGTGGGTGGCGAAATACCCCAGCAACTGCCGGGTTAAGACTCCGGTATTAGTAGAACAGACGTCACACGAAGGTTTTCCAACCAAAGAGAGGCGCCATACCCGGTGGTGCTTCTTTCTAGGAAAACCTAAACAAACCTAACCTTACCTGACCTAACCTAAACTACAACCTACAACCTAAAAACCTACAACCTACAACCTAAAAACCTACAACCTACCTACAACCTACAAACCTACCACAACCTACAAACCTACAGCGCCTCTCCTCGGTTGGAAAACCTTCGTGTGACGTCTGCTCTACTAATGCCAAGACTCCTTGATGATATCACATAGTGCCTTTGCAAGGAGCGTGAGTGAATAATTATTTTAACCCACACCCTGATGGGGTCTGCCGAGCAGCAGTCTGAGCGCGCCCTGATCCTGATGGGGAGCCATTTTGGCCCCCTCTAAGATCCAGAGAACCATGCAACATAGCGACAAGCAGCAAACATTGGTGGATAGCCCCAACACAAACAGGGAACTACCTTGTGACCCAATTTCATTGACCTTGGTCTAACCGATGACATCACAGGTCAGTTCAAATGTCAAATTTTTGCCGTTTACAGGCATTTCAAGAAATGCGGGTCAAATCCCTCTTTTGCACCCTGGTCTCAAAATTGAATAAAAACCACACCATATTGTCACAAACCATGCATTAACCTAGAAAATTGTTCATACAATCATTTAATGCTAAAAAATCAGGTACGATACAAGCAGAAATAAACAAACCTAATCTAACCTGACCTAACCTTACCTACTAACCTACAACCTACACCTACAACCTACCAACCTACACCTGCAACCTACCAACCTACACCTGCAACCTACCAACCTACACCTGCAACCTACCAACCTACAACCTACCAACCTACAACCTACCAACCTACACCTACCAAGTACCAACCTACAAAGTACCCTACAACCTAACCTACAACCTAAATCTACTTATACACCACATAACCTTACCCGACTCAATGAGTGGTTGGCTGTAACTTATCTTGTTTTGTGTAAAATGTATCATAAGTATCTATGTGTAATCTCACTTTTCTACCTTAGAAGGATGTAGGTATTGTTTCTTTTCATGATTTTGTTTTGTGAATTTCTTCAGTTTTAAAAGAGTGCAAAAGAAGGAAATGACTGAATTGTGTTGTAAAATTGGGTAAAAATACATATTATTGAAAATTTTATTTCTGGAATTGTCTGTAAAACACATATTTTTCTATTTGAGGTCACTAATACCAGGTCAGGTCACAGAGGTCAGGTTACTGAGGGTCACAATACGAAAGTGTCATGTGATATATGTTTTATGGTCCATTTCAAGGGCGCACACAAGGGGGGCACCCGGGCCCGCCCCCCCCCCATTCGAGTTGGGGGCCCCTAATCCCTAGACCGTTGAAGACCTTGTAAAAATGAGCTGAAATAATGATTGAAAAGACCGGGAGGGCCCAGCTCGCTCCCCAACACTCAACAGGCCCATATGAGTCCATAATATGCCCAGTAGTGCAGTCAGGGTGATTGTGGTGAAATTTCAATGGCCCTCAAAAGGCCTCAAAGGGCC